ACGAGGAGTCGGAGCCCCGTACGGCGAGATGCAGCACATAGGCCAGCGCGCGGAATCGAGGTCAATGGACGGGTGACTCGCTGTAGTGAGTGCGCGGCGGCGTATCACCCGCAGAGACAGCCGCGACCAGCAACTTTCAGAAGTTGACATTAAAGAACGTGAGTGAGTCTGCTATAGGTCCATGTACCCTGTCCTGATGTCTGCCTGTGCTGCAGCACGAACATTGTCACGGTCATGTTTACTTGGTCTGAAGCCTATTGAGATCAATCCAGCATCGCTGCCTTGCGGATCCCCAAGGACCGTCTGTTGTGCTGACAGTTTCGGCCTCGGCTGGCCTGTCTCCGGTGGCGATGCGAGGGTTTGTGGAGTTGTATGTGTGTCTTTCTGGTGCTGACTCGTAAGGATATGGCCTGCATCGAAGCCGCGGGAGCCTCAACGAGCCCGTGGTTGCATTTGGCTGGCTTGCTCTTTTTTGTTGACGTGCGTGACATCGGCGTCGCTCGGGTTCGTTTTTGATTGCGGGCCTGCAGTTGTTGCTCTCGTGCTGGACAGGCGTTGGCGGGCAGTCTGGACGGTGGTGGTCGGGGCGGTGTTTCACAACCTGCAGCAATGGCGGTGGTTTTCTTGCTGGGAGCGTCTACTTTCGCGTTTTCGTCACTGCTTTGCTGTGTTTTTGTTGTTTCGTTTTGTGCACAGCTGTGGGATCGGGTTCTGTTCGGTTTGGGCCTGTCTCTGCTTTCTCCCGTCGTGTCTTGTCTTCCTGATTTTCCGGACTCGGGATTGCATGGCTCGAGTGTCACTTGGGGTGTTGGCTCTGCTGCTCTGCTGCAGTGTCGCTTCTCGCGTCAACCGAAATTTTTGCACAGCTTGGCAATGTCGCCGTCGTCTCCGCAAGATCCCTCGAGGGGGTGTTGCTGACTCGACGTGCGCGTGTTATGACAGTCCTCGTTGTGTGGGTTGGCGTTCGTGCCGGTCGGGCCTCTGACTTCTTTTTTTGCATGGCAATGAAGCGACATCGATCTGCATGGTTGATTTGCTATTGCTCTTCCAGTGCTTTACCCGGAAGTAGGAATGGAGTGCATGGAAGTCGTGGACGTAGCTCGAGCCCATGTACAACCAAGAGGAAGGTTGGCATGCTTGGGCTCGTGCACTTGTTTCTCCCGCAGATTTGTTTGTGTTTTCTTTTTGATGCTTTAGGTGCTGCGACGGGATCGTTAGGCTCCGGATTCGGGCTTGGAGAGGCTAGAAAGAGAGACCGGCCTATGCTTCCTGTTCCTGGCCTGAGAGATTTCTTCTTGCAGTTGCAGCCTGCGCTTGTGTTTGGCGTTCTTGCAGATACTGGTAAAGACGGAGTCTGTCCAGGGTGGGTGTCCGCACCTCTACAGTTGACTGGTATAGCTGTAGCTGTAGCTGGTGCATTCTACCGACGGATGTGTTGTTCTTCACGCCACTCGCATTCGCCTTCGCATCGAGCAAGAGTTTGACGGTGTCGGGGTTGTCGCTCCACATCGCAAGTTGTAGCGGTTCTTGAAGGAGTCGCACAGCTGCTTCTGATTCCACGTCGCAGAGGTTCGCAATGAGCTTGTGGAGGATCGAGTCGTGACCCTGGAAAGCTGCTGCACAAAGAGGCGTTCCCCCGTGCAAGGCATGCTTCTCGGTGTCAGCTCTCTGTTCGAGCAGGAACTCCACGGCTTCGGTTCTCCCGTGCCAAGCTGCGTACCAGAGCGCCGTGGCATTCAACTGGCCGTCAACGTGGACCGATGAGCCGAGCAGGAGTTTAATGCCGGAAATGCAGTTGGTGCTGGCGCATGCGCAGAGAGCGGTTGTCTCGTAGTCGTACTCGTTGCGGGGCTCGTGTCGGGTGTGCACATCCGAGCGCGCCATCAGCAGGGTGGTTGCCATTTTTTCGTCGTTATTGTGGCAAGCGACGTTGAAGGGCGTCCGGCCTTGGTCGTTGCGTTGATTCGGGTCGGCTCTTGCCTCTAGCACCAATTGTGTGAGGCTGTGGAAGCCACCAGCGACGGCTTCGAGTAAGGCGCTGCGTCCGTGCTGGTCTGTTGCGTCCGGGTCTGCTCGGTGTTGCAGCAACATGCGCGTGGCTTCCTTGGCGTTTTGGGCTGCTGCGTGCCAGAGTGCCCGATCGTTGCCGTTGCGGTTCACGTCCGCATGGGCTTGGAAGAGGAGTTTCAGGATGTCCGTGTTGTTTGCACTCGCGGCTGCTTGGAGAGCGGTGGTTGCGCCGTTTGCGGTGTTGACTTTGGCCCCTCCGGGCATGGACGCGTTGACGTCCTGTGGTTTGCACAGGAGTTCTTCCACTTCGGATTCGGAGTCTTCGAAGCTGGCATCAATGAGCTGGCGGATGTTTTTCGCGGAGGTGGGGATGTAGTTCAATAGCACGACCTGCAGGTGGGTGGATTTTCGGATCGCGTCGTCGTCGTCGAGGAGGCGCGTGTTTCGGAGGATCTTCTGTCGGAATCGGGAGACTCCCAGGTCCGGAGCTAGTCTGGCTTTGAGCTTTCGTATGGTGGTGGCTTCGTGCAGGTGAAGGTCCGCTACGAGGTTTCCTGCGCCGGTGTAGACTTGTACCCGGATCTTTCCGTTCTTGTGGGTGCTTGGTCGTTTCATGATGGCTTTGAGGTGGCGAGCAACAGTACCGGTCGAATTGACGGGGTTCGGGCCCTGCACACTGTCGCGATTGGTCTGATGTTTTGATATTCACGGCATGGGGTTTTGGCTGTACTTGGTGCCGTGTCTGTTTACTGACTGATTGCACTGGGACAGCACTTTTTTTTCTGGATGCACGTGACATCTGCGTTGTGTCGGGCTGGGTCCTTTTGAGATCTTGTTGGTGGTCTAACATGCTAGTAGTTGCTGCTAACATGCCTTGGTGGGCAGACTGAACGGTCGTAGTCGGGCGGTGTGTCTCAGCATGTAGTAGTATTGGCGGTGGCGATCTGGCTGGGAGCGGCTGCTTTGGTGTTCGGAACACTTTGGTGCTGCGAGTTTTCTGGCAATGGCATGCAGCTGTCAAGATCGGGTTCCTGATCGGTTTTGTCCCGTCTCTTTCTCTTTTCGTGTCTTTTCGGCGGTGGGTCCCGGGAACGGGTGGCACGAGTGTCAGTTCGGGGCGATGGCTCTGCTGCTGCGCTGTGGGGTCTCTTTTCGTGCCACCCTAAGTCTTTGCAGAGCTTGGCAATGGTGCCGTCGTCTCCGCGAAAGATCCTTCGAGGGAGTGGTCCCTTGTCACTTAGGTCCAGCTCTTTGCGGACTTGTCTTACGAGTTGTCGGCGCGGTTCGATCCGAGTTTCCTGCTCGAGCCTTTTCACGAGTTCCTGGAGTTTCGTTTTGTTGTACACGATGTTGCTGCTTGGTTGTGCTTCCTCGTTCGGGGTGTTGATCTTGTGCGGGGCAATGTCGTCCGCTTTGTCGTTGGAACTGGCTGTGGTGTCTGTGCTCTTGGGGCTCCGTTCTGCGTGTTCTGGTTGTGCTTCCGCCTGCGCGCTGTGGGTGCAATTTCGGGGGTGCTCTAGAGTCGCGGAGTGTGTGTCGTTATATAGACACGTCGAGCATCTTGCTGTGGGAAGTGGTTTGCTGCTTGTTTTTCTCACTGCCTGGGTCGCCGCGCTTGTCAGGCAGGGTTCTGTTTCGGCGTCTGGCGTCATGTCGGAGAAGCTTTGTGAGGGTTGGGAGTCCCTGTGAGCCGGGAATGGCTGCCAAGAGTCTGTTAGTTGGGTTCCTCTGGCAAGGGCGGTCTAAGTGGTTGCGATTCGGTTCTGTGCGGACTGGTTTTAGCTGCTTTCTGACGATTGAATCGTGTGTGCCGAGACTCTGCGAGGCGTTTTCCCTGTTTTGTTGGATGGATTCGTTTTGAATCGGGCGTCGTGTGCCTTGAGTTACTGCGTCGTTGCCTCGGCGTTTCCTCGGATCTGTTGTTTGCGGTCATTGGCGAGCGTGCCTGCCCAGATGATTCCTTCGTAGCCGCGGTAGTCGAACGTGATGACCAGGCCGGCGCCGTTGTGCGGGTAGTTGCGTGTGGGTGGTTGGGGAATGTAGAAGTAGCGAGTGAAAGCTTCTCGCAAGAAGTCGCTGAGCTGGATGCCTTCTTCCCGCACTGTCCAAGCGTTTAAGATGAGGATCGATTCTGAGGGTGAGAAACCGCCTATGCCGATCTCCTCGAGCCACTCGTGAAGGTCTTCCTGGTTGCCCGAGTGCCAGGGTTCGGTATCGCAGCCACCACAGGTGGAGTAGTACTTCTTCTTGCTTTCGACTAACACGGTCGTTGGCGTTAGAAAACCAGGTAGCCTGAGTGGAAGGGGCGTATGCAGCGGGGCGAGTGATGCCCGTACATGGCCTGCCAGTGTGCGGATCTTGTCACAGCGGTGCTGGAACTCGTTCTGGAAGCTGTTGCAGGATGACAAGGTTGGGACTTGTTCGGGGAATGCGAGATAGTTGAGGATCTTGCTTGCACACTGCAGAGGGAGGTTCTGCAGGTGCATGTAGCGCTGGGGCATGGCCGGTTGTTTCGTGGCGTGTTTTGTTCGCTGGATCCTCTAGTACTCTTGGTTTCATCGAGGAAACAGCGACAGGTCCATTGTGGTGTGTTTTATATGCGCCCGGTTGTCAGGTTTGTTTGCACATATTTCGCGTGGATGTGTGGAAGTGCTGGTATAACCATGCATATTGGTGTGTGTGTGTGTGTGTGTGCGTTGATGTGTCAATGTGTGCATGTGTGTGTGTGTGTGTGGTCGCGGTGAGTGCTATTGTTTTTTTTGCGGTCAGGTTTGTTTCTGATCCGAGTGCAGCACGTTCGTGGTTGGAGCTCGGCAGGGAGTTGTTGTTGCGCGCGTGGTTGAAGTTAGCGACAGATCGCGGTTGCTGCTGCTTCCGTTTGTTTTCTGGCTCGCTTGATTACTGTGCGGTCGGGGGTTTGTTTTACTCGAGCCGTCTTGGCTGGAACGTGCATGTTGCGAAGTTGCATGTGCACGTCCTTGCGTGAGGGGCTAGTGCTGCTTTTGCCGGTATGTGAAGCCCACAGAGTTGGCGAGATCGTCGAACTCAACGTCGTAAATCAGTTGTTGCCAAGTGGAAAATGCAAAGGGCTGGATCTTGCATCGGAAACGCAGGTTGCGCTGCCATGCGATTAGCTTGGTATTGGGTTGTTGCTCCTGGTCTTCCTGGATGTGATGGATGGAGAGCTCGATGAAGGATTTCACTTCTCGGTGCAGGGCTACGTCAAAGTGGAAGATGCAGTTGTGGATGAAGTGGTTGGGGAAGGTGTAGTAGGGGTCGGCATAGGTCTTGTTTTGTAGGTAGAGCTGCCAGTGTCGAACTTGCTCGTCGGCTATGATGCTGTGGGCAGTTGGATCGAACATGATCTTGACAAGGCTTTCTACTTGCGTTTGCAAGGAGTCGGGTGTCTGTATGTGAAATTGCGGAGCTGGTGGAGTGGGAATTCTGACGTCGTGGAACTGGGTCAGTCCTGAACTTTGCTGGCTTTTGTGCTTTTCGGCGGCGTGCCGTCGGGCGCTTGCTTCTCGTGTCATCGTGGAAGCCGTGAGGATGCTGAGTGGAGAGCTGCTCCCTTCCGCTCTGTCCTGGCACGACGGAGGCGTTGGTTGGGTGTCGAGTGTTTGTAGAGCTTGGTGTGTGTGTGTGTGCTTTCGTCGGAGCCTTGGGTGTTTGCTCTTCTTGTTGCTTCCTGGTTGTCTTCCGGTCGCTGTCTTCGGCGTCGCGCGTGGTGGGCGCGGTGTTCATGTGCATCTAGGTTTGTTTCTGGAACGGTCCGTTACTACGGGATTTTGTGGTGTAGCTTGGGGTATTTGATCTGGTACGACAGTGTTGTGGCGCGTTTCGGTGCTCTAGTTGGTTTGTGCGTTTCAACGCTGTCGTCTGCTTGGGTTGCTGTTCGATCCGCATGCGGCTACGGAGGCTGCACTCAGGACATGTTACTGGTGCTGGCTGTGCTTTTTGCGGGAGCCCTTGTTCTCTTACTGTTCCTCTCGTGTCTTTTCATGTTTTTCGGCTGTGCGACGGGTCTGGTTGCGGCGTCTTGCGTTTTGCGAGGGTGCATCACTCCTTTCACTCTGCGTGGATGAGGCCCGCGTGGTTCTGGTATCGGAAGCTCAGCTGTAAGCGGGCCGGGCTGATGATGTCGCGGAAATGGTATTCGCTCTTGCTGAACTGCGGCATGTAGGAGATGGTGGTGTGGGCGTCGTCGAGGAAATATAGGAATGCTTGGAATTGAGCATCGTGTCGCCAGGATGGGTTTGTTTTCCTGACGAGCTCCGCGAATGTACTGGCTCGACCCTGCCGCAGGAGTTCCTGCATGTGTCGGCTGCTGTGACCGGTCGGGTTTGCGGCTGTGCTATTCGTGAGCGTTTTGACGGAGGTGCCGCAGGAATGGTGCAGCAATTTTCGGTCTAACAGGTGCTGTGGAATGAGTTTGATGCTGTAGACGCTTGGCAGACCGGGAAGGTGGATGTCGAACGTTAAAGTCTCTAAGGTCCATCTAAGCGCTTGAGCGCTTTTCCGAAGGCTTTGGTGCTGCATTGCGTCGTGCGTGCTTTTGCTTGCCTGTAGGAAGTCTTGCAGAGCCCACGCGTCTAGGTGTTCCAGCAGTGACGTGATGACGATTGGTAGGACGATTGCAACTAACACGGATGTGGAAGAGGTTCGGTGTCCTCTGTCGAAGGCTGCCGAGACATCTGTTCGCTGAGACGTGGGTGCGGCGCTGTGCCAACGACGTTGCTGGATTGGCTTTAGTTTGCAGCAGTCTTCCGACGTGATTTGCGGTTCTTGATTTTCCTGTTTGGTTTGGTTCCGTCCTGTGGCTCTGATTCGTTTTGGCTGCGCTGCGGGGAGGCGGCACTCGTGGTTGCTTCGTTTTGGTTGTCGGACACCTGCTTCGGTGGTCGTCTGCGGTTGCGTGGAGCGGAGCTGGCGACCTCCAGTTGGATTCTTTGCGTTTGCGGCGCTCCGGCTTGGTGTCTGTTGCGGTATCTGACCCAGCCCACGGCGCCTCTCGGGTGAAAAAACGGCTGCGGGCTGCGCATGCGCTTGATGTCTGCCATGTGCAGTGCGTGCGTCCGCTGGTATGGCAGCACGTGTGTGCTCAGTCCGTGTTGGTGCTGCATCTGCCGGAAGGTCGTAACGGACAGCTTTTCGGTGTGTGTGATGTAGGCCCTGCCATGGAGCAGCTGATTGTGTCCGAACCAAATGAGGCCTGCCCGTGCAGGTTGGCCTCTGATTTCGATGGTTTTCTGTCCGTTTAGGATCATGGACAGCCACTTGGCTTTGAGGATCATGATTCGGTCCCCGTCTGCTGGTACGGCGTCGTCTTCGAGCTCCGGTACGGGTTTGTCGTGGGGCGCGCTTGCGTTGGTGTCTTGCATGGCTATTCGTTAGGTCGGGTCGCAACAACGTGCGCTTGGAATGGGGTCTGAGACTACCGTGCATATGTCTGTTCACTTGAACCGCTTAGCGGGGGGGGGTGCGGGGGGTCGGAGGCGGGCTCAGCCGCGCTGTTTGTAGCTTTGCTGTGCCATGCTGTCGTGCTGAATTGTTGACCGTGAGGTTGTGAGGGTAGCAGCAGCTACGCATGTGCAGTATGGATGCAACCGGTGATAACTGTGATACTGCATGTCCGATCTTCTTGCACTGATGCTTCACTTGCAACGCGTTCGTCTAGCTCTGTCCCTTTTCGTCGTGGTTCTTCGTCTCGTCGCGTCCGACTTTTGCGGGCGCAGTGGCTTCTGGGTTGGGTGCGTCTTCGATTGGCAGGGTGGGTTGGTGTTGCTCGTCTTGGACTGGCAGGGCGAGTTGCCGTTGTGCGTATTCTTCAGCTTCCTTGCGTTTGCGATAGCTCCTGCTGATGGGACACAGGTCGTCTGGTCCAGTGCGGTACCGTGTGAACAGGGAGGGGGGCATCAGTTGGTAGTAATTGAAGTTGATATTGGTTCGGCGAACGTTTGTGATCGCGAGCGCGTAGAAGTTTTGGGAATCGGGTGGGTCCAGTTGGAGGTGTTGGTTGTAGAGTTCGTGAAATTCCTGTCCATCAATGCGTCTCACTTGTTCGATGGTAGCTCTTGCTTTGATGCAACCTTCGCTTGCGAGCCAGATGCATTTTGGCCTTGTTTTGGTGCCGACGACGAGTATGTGCTGCTTCTGGGCCAAGATGTTGTTCAGGGTCTGTGAGTATAAAGTAAGGATGCTGTCGCCGATGTCTGGGTGGTCTTTGTTGTCTGGCACAGGTCCGTGCGGTTGCGCGTCGTGGTTGGAAGTGGTCAAGCTGCGGGCGTCGGCTTCGTCTCCTTCTTCGGATTTTTCCTTTCTGCTCAACTGCTGGCTGGAGAAGGTGCCGGACGTGGTTGAGGCGCTTTCTTCCTGGGTGCGAGTGAGGATGTCGGTGGTTGTGGGCTGGGGGGGTGGACAGGGGGTTGGTGCTGCTGATTCTGGGTTGTTGCGAGGGCGCTTCGGCAGCCGGTTCGTGCGTTGTCGTTCTGTCGTCCGTCAATTTCTGTCTGTGGGTCGCACGTTGATGCGCGTATTTTGTACTTTGCTCCGAGTTGCATCCTGGTGCATCGTGGTGCTCGAGTCACGTTGGCTTGGGCGCAGCTGCTTTCGTCACATGTCGTGAGCTGGCACTCGAATGTTGCAGGCTGGCTTGTTGTCCTGCTGGGTCGAGATTCTAGTGGAAGGATGTTCTATGACTTCCTGATGTCTGTCGCGGGCTGTTGTGTGGATGAGCTTCTTGAGCATGTGGTAGCGTCAGAGCTTTGCATGTGTGTGTTGTTTCGTGTCGTTGGAGCTGATCCGGACTTGCTGCGGCAGCTGCTCCATGTTTTTTCTAGTGTTGTTTGCAATTGTTGGTCTCTCTCCTTTTCTCTCTCTTCTTCTTTCTTTGGTTTCTCTCTCCCTCCGTCTCTCTCTCTCTCTCTCTCTCTCTCTCTGTCTCTCTTTCCCTTTCTCTCTCTCGCTTTCTCTCTCTCTCTCTCTATCTCTCTCTCTCTCTCTTTCTCTCTCTCTCTCTCTCTCTCTCTCTTGTAGTGTCTGTTTCATAGTCTTTCTTCTTCTTGCTGTGTCTTTTATGATCTTGGTCTTCGCATTGGGTGCACAAGTCGGTTGGGATGGTGGCGGTCGCGGTCGCACTTCTTGTCTGTCTTTTCTTTTGCTTGCGGGTGGTTCATTCATTGCTGTGCGAGTCGAAGGGCCGGGCGCGACTGTACAGGGCTGATGCCATCAAGCTGGATGTGGGTGCTCCAAGCTGTTGGTGTAAAGCGTGCTGAAATCGAAGGTGCCGTTGATGATTTGGTCGCAGATGCTGCTTGGTCGAATTGGCATGGATAGATGTGAAATGACTCGTTGTACTATCAAGTTTAGACGCACGACGGCCACTCCACTTGGTGTGAGTTTTTCGAAGCGTGGGTTGTCTTCGGTTTTGCTTTCGTCGACGAGCACGTCCCAGCAGTGTTCACAGATGCCGGTGCGGTTGTATTCTGTCAAACCTTCGGGAGAGTAGTGCGTGCCTTCTGCCTCGCAGCGATTGCAGCAGATGCAGGTGTTTTGGCGCACGTTTTTCGCGACTTGGAGCTTCTTGTGAATCGCATCTTTGAGAGCGGTGAGCTCTTTTTGTTCGAAGACGCGCACGTGCAGGATCTTTTTGCTCATGAGTGCTCGGCTGTACTTTTTTTTTTTGGAATGCGCTAGTTCACTTGCGAATTGAGGCTTGGGTGCTTGGGCCAAAGGTGCGGCGAGGGCTGTGGTGCGGAGCTGTCAAGGCGTGGATGCGCTGTGACGGGGCGGCTTCTCTTGCAGCGGTGCTGTCGTTGATCGAGCTTTGCTTCTGAATTTGCTGGAGCCATAAGTCAATGTGCTTCGTGTGTGTGTGTGAGAGAGTTATATTCGCGTTATGGCGATGGGTGGGTTCTGTGAAGCATGTTGGACTATCCTGTCCGGGCACTGCTGCAGCAGTGTTTGTGGTTGAATTCCCTGGGACAGGATTTCGTGGCTCAGGTGTGCTTGCTGAGGGAACAAATCGATGCGGAAAGGATTGCAATTCAGTGTTTCGCGGAGGCGGAGCACCTGGACGCCCTTCGGTGTGAGTCGACCCAGGTGGTTGTGCGGTCGTTGCATGATCATGGTGTCGTAGCAGTATTCGCAAAGCCCGCTTCGCTGGTAGACGACGCGGCCGGCATCCGTGTAGTACTTGGAGGATCTTTGATGTGAGCACGCTATACAGGTGTCTCTCCGGTGATGGTGTTGCAGTGATGTTAAGACTGTGTCGATCGCTTGCTTGAGCTGTTGCAAATGGGGGTTGCCGAGAGACCGCACTGGCAGTGATCCTTGACCGTGTGGATGGGCCATCTTGGCGTTTTTCAGGGGTGGCACTTTACTGTGCATTGCGTGTTGGGCTTAAGGGGAGTGGCTCGCTTGCTGTCGGGACTGCTTGTTTGGCGTGGATTGCGCTGTGGTTGGTGTTTGTCGGGTCTTGTGTACGTGACTTTTGTGTGGGTGGTTCATGATTCATGCTGCTTGAGAGCTGGCTTCGGTCGTGCACTGTGAGCAGTACGTTCCGTGCGGCAAGGTGTATGCGGCTATATTGCTGGCTGGTGGTGTGGAACGTTTCTGGATGCCTGTTTGGTCGCGGTGTTGTTTGTGTCTTGCGAAGACCTCCAGCAGCGTTTCCTTGCATTTTTTTATCTTTGTGGTTGCAGGCGACGCTTCTGCTGTGCCTGAGGCATGTTACGTGTTTTGCTCGAGACATAGCGTTTCCTGCGTGAGGAGCCACAGCAGGAAGTCATCGTCGTGGTTCTTGAGTCGATGTGCAAGGCAAATGGGAACGTTTTGCAGTATGTCTCTGACCGCGCTGATGACGCTGACGCGGCCTTTGTAGTTGTTCTTTACGCAGAGGACGAGTCCGGCTTCGTAGTTGTGTGTCTTGTAGGAGTTTCGTCGAAACATCTGGGGCTGGTCGAAGAGGCCGGCGTGGAAGGTAAGCATGTACTTGCCGTTCTTTTTCGTGATGTTGCATTTGGTGTGGCGAGTGCCTCTTGGAGGCGGCAGCTTGAATATGTCTTCTACTTTGGTGTTGGGTTTGCTGTGCTTCAGTGGAATCCACGGCTCGGGCGGAGTTGGTAGATTGGCCACGTTTTTGGGACTGTTGCAATGGAGCAGCAAGTTTGGTAGCCTTTTTTTGCCTTGCTTGCGCTGGCTTCTGTACCGTAGGGTGTCTCGGAGTAATCGGAAGAACTGCTCGAGGGACCGGTGATGCACGTAGAAAACGGGCTTTCCTGGTGCGTTGTCCGAACTTTCTGCGTGCTGCGCGTCGCTGGTTTCTGGCAGGTGATTCAGCACGGTGATGAAGGCGTGCTCTTCGAGGCTTCGGAAGTCGTTGACTTCATGCATTCCGTGTTGTCCTGATGCCAGGTACTTTTGTATACCGGAAAGGATGGCGGAGTGCGTATAGCTCGGTTGCGACTGCTCCAGGTGTACTTGCCAGAGGGGCTCGTCTTTGTAGCTATTGAGAAACCAAGCATTGGCCATGCCCCAGAAAGTCATGACTGCAACTAACGCGTGGTTGGGGTCTTGTGGGACGTTTGCGGTGTTCGGGGTCCCGTCTGCCATGGCTGCTCGCATGCCGGATTCTGGTGTGCCTCTACGGGGTTGCTGTCTGTTGTTTATGCTGCGTAACGGAGCGTGAGCGGTGCAGGCCGTGACTGAAACCTTGCTTGGCTGTGTGCTTGTATGTGTCTGCTGGCTGGTTCGGGTGGGGGCTGGAGCTGTGGGCACTGATTTTTTTGTCGTCAAAACTTCTGTGCACTTGGTGACGTCTTCTGCGTGCACTTGTGCCGGTGATCTGTGCTTGCGCTCAGGTGTCGTCCAACGGGATGGGGTTGAGTCGGAAGGGGCCTAGAGAAAGGAGCCAGGTCAGCATGGGGTCTTTCTTGTCATCGATGTAGTGGTAGAAGTAGACGGGCATGTGGTACAGAACGTTGTCGACAACCCTGAGTACTTTCTCTTTGCCTTCTTGGTCGTTCTTTACTTTGAGAAGGCGGACGTAAATTCGCTTTTCCGTTGGATCGGCTGTCTTGTGGAATCCGTAAGGGACCTGTTGTGCGTCGAATTTGTCCCGAAAGATATAGAGTCCGCCCAGAAACATCAGGTCGTAGTGCTCGTCTTCGGCAGCTTCGAGTTGGCACACGATGTGTCTTCGTCCTCTGGGAGGCAAGACTCTGAATATGTTCGGCATCCATTCTGGTTCTGTGCGCAATAGTTGCCACGGTTGTGGTAGGTCTTCCTGCGTAGGGCTCCAGTGCGAACAGTTTGACTGCACTTGAAGTGCTGGCATGTCGAGGATATGTGCTGAATCCACTTTGTGCTGAAGCACTCGATACACCAGATCCAGGAGTGGGTTGGGGTTCTCATTGCCCACGTAGAGCACAGGTCGCCACGGATTGAATTGCATGCCGTCCGGGTCATTGTCTTCTTTTTGCTGGCTGGGGGCACCGTTGAGAACTCGTATTTTCATGTGTTGCTCCAGGCTTTTCAAGTCCGTGATATTCGGGTCGGGGTAGTTGCGGAGCGTATCATTCACGACCTGGAGCAGCTTGAAGCTGAAGTTGTTGTAGCCCGCGTGATCGATTTGCATTTGCCACAACTTTGTAGTCGTGGGCGTGTTGTCGAAGTAATGGGCCGCGCTGCCCCAATAAGTCACGGTGGCTAGGAGGAAGCGCCCGGCTGTTGGGTCGGTGTTGTTGCTGTTTCGCTTCGTGAGAGGCTCTTGGAGTGCGACTTCGTGGGCTTGGAAGCGTCGTTTCGGCATGGCGTTGGCGGGAAGTGGTCTCCTGGCTCGGTCGGGCGCCTTTGAAAACTGCCACGTAGCGGTGCAGATGTGTTCTTCACTGTGCCGATAAGCTCGGCTGCGTTTTGGCTGTCTGAGTGCATGCTTAAGTTTTTCTGCTGAGCTTGGTTTTGCTTTCCTTTTTCTTCTTATGTCTTTCTTTCTCTTTCTGTCCCCCTCTCTCTCTCTCTCTCTCTCTCTCTCTCTGTCTGTCTCTCTCTCTGTCTCTCTCTCTATCTCCCTCTCTCTGTTTCTTTCTTTCACCGTGCACATGCGTTTGGACGTGGTGGCTTCTCCGCATAAAGTTAATCTGTCGTGCTCGTGTTGTGTTGTTGCTTCTCGAGTTCGGTCTGGTGGAGTACGAGCTGGTTTGCTTGCTTGCAGTCAACGCGGTCTACTGTGAGCTTTTCTTATATTGTTGTTGGTATGTTGTAGAGTCTGTGTTTTAGTCTGATTGTTCACACGTCTTGATCGTGGCAATGTGTGTTGCGTCGCTCAGTTTGGTCTTTTGCTGTGCCGGGTGTCTCTCGACAAGTGCGAGCTTTCCTCGTTTTGTTGTCGGCATGTTGTAGAATCTGTGTTTGGGTCTTATTAAGTGTTCATGTGCCTTGATCGTGGCAATATGTGTTGCGTGGCTCCTTTTGGCTCCTTGCCGCGTTGGAGGTCTCTTGACAAGATCGAATCGTCGAGTGCTTTTCGTGAATTGTTTACATGTGCGTTTCGGCTAGGATGACACTTTTCTGACGGGCCATCCAAGAAGCGAACTCGTCGGAGTCATCTTCCGTTGCGTCGATAAAGTAGACGGGCAAGCTGCACAGGGCGTTGATGAGGAGGCTTTGTATTCTCTCTCTTGCATTGCTGTCGAAGCTGTCGAAGTGCATCTGCCTCACATAGGTGGCTTTCTTTTCGCTGCCTGATGCCGGAACGTGTCCGGCTGGGATGTCTTCGTTGTTTAGAAGTCGCCTGTACGGGTAGAGATTTCCGAAGAGTGTGAGGATGTATGCGCCGGGAGGGTGTGCGGCACGGTCGAGTTGGCAGAGTACATGTTGTCTTGTGGTGGGTGGGACTGCACGGAAGCAGGCGATGTCGTTCATGTTCGGGTGGCAGCGGAGCGTCCATGGTAGCGGCGGCTTCGCCGTCCAGTTCCACTCTTGTATGCGGATCACTAGGGGTGGGGGGTGGCTCCAGTGCCCGCACGCGCAGTGGTGTTTCACCAGGTACTGCAGCAGTTGCAGTATGGGCATGGGGGATTCGGCGGCCGCGTAGATTACTGGTTGCCACGGGGTGAATTCCATGCCGTCAGGGTCGGGGTCACCGCTTGATGGAGGTCCACCGGACAGAAGCTTCACGTGGTGGTTCCGCTGGAGCTGTTCGAGGCTCTGCATGCTTCTGTCTGGATGCACGCGTAAGGCTGCTCTGGCGGTGTCCAGCATCATGTATCCGAGCGAGCGCCGGCCTCGGTGGAAGACCCTAGCTTGCCATAGGGTGTTCTCCGGCTTTCGCCAGTCGGCTCGTTCCGCGAGATCCGGAAAGACGAAGGCTCCGTTGCCCCAGGATCTGATGCTGACCAAGATTTCGTTGTAGGCGGGATCGTCGTCGTGGTCGGAGAAGTTGTTGCTGAGTTGGACCCTCGGAGCAGTGAGGCGTCGTGCCATGAGAGAATCGGTGGATCTGGTGCGTTCTAGTGTGGGTGGCAGGTTTGGGAGCGTGTTCCTGTTTCAGCTTGCTGCGTGCCGAGTCTCCAGCTTTGTGTGTGAGTTTCGGTGCTTCTGCTTTGGCCCTGTTAGTATGGTTCCTGGTTGTGTGCTAAACAGGATTTTACTCTGATTTGGTTGATATGGCAATCTATAGGTACGGGTACAGGTTTTTGGCTGTGCGAGCCAGCAGATGTGCGAGCGTCTGCATGGGCGGCAAGCGAAAGCATGCTGGCAGGTGACTGTTTTTGAGTTGGGTGAAGTGTGTGCAAGCAAGTCGCTGTTTTCCCGTTGCCTTGTTTTTGGTCTGTACTGTTTGTGCTTCGCGTTGCACGCAGCACGCGGGTGAGACTCTCGCGGCTGCTGGCGTCTCCCTTGTCGCCATGGCGTGTGGTCCAGGATATCAGATTGGCATGTGCACATTTGGGTTTTGTTGGGCTAGAAGTGGTATCTGACTTTTTGATTTAAGGGGACGAATGCCTGCAGCCACGTCGTTAGCGGAGTATCTTCGAATCGAGGCTCGTCCGTTTCTACACCTGCAATCTGAACGTGTTTCTCGAGGGGTATTGAGTAGAAGGATGTTTGCTCGGATGGAAGGCGATGGGTCCATCTGTAGTGCAGGACGGGTGGATTCCACGGTTCGAAGTCGGAACCAACTTCACTCGCTGCTTCGAGCATCTTGGTGGGACGTCTCGACATGTGCCGGGGAAGCTTTGTTTGCATCACTGCCGTGTGTATGGTTCGGTTGGTTTGGGTCAGACTGGCGAAGTTTCGAAGACAGGTCGCGAAATAGAGGAACAGGCCTTGGGCCTGCTGCGCAGCGGTTCCTTGTTCTGTGCTGTGACGGAGGGGGCTGGATGGTTTTTCCCAGGCTGCTATGAAATGCCGGTCTTGTAGGTAATGACCGATGGCGCTTGCGAGACTGTGGGCGTCTTGATGGAATGCTTCGTTTTGGAGTATCGACTCGAAGAAGTGCGCGCACGTTGACTTCCTTCCGCTTCTGCAGGGGCGGGTAGTGTTGCCATTTTGGGTGTAGCTCGACGATAATTGTTGTGCGTTGCAAATGTTGACCCAGACACACCATTCCAGTGCACTGAATTCTAGAATGCTTCGTAGAATGTTTGGGTCGCGGAGAGGCTGTAATGTCGGCGTGTCGTCTTTTCTTGTGGGGACATCATCCTTGGCAGACATTGGAGTGCTGGTTCTTTAAAAAAGTCTGTTTTCTTGAGCTGAATCATTGACATGTCACAGTTTGCATCAGATGGACTCGGGCGGGAGGTCGGGGGTTTAGCTATGCTACTCTTGCCTATGAAACAAATAGAACCCGGTTCTGCTCCGGGGCTTTGCTGACCCCTCGCGCGCGCGCGTGTGTGTGTGTGCGCGTGTACGTGTGTGTGTGTGTGTGTGTGTGTGTGTGTGTGTGGGTGTGTGTCTGTGTAGCTGCTTGTTGTTGGCTTCTAGGGGCTTGGTGTTGATTTGGGTGAACGGAAATGGAGGTGTTACCTTGCTGATATAGGTGGGCTAGCTTGAGCTGGCCCATGAACACGTGCATTTCAGCTCGTCAGTCGGATTTCTTCTAGCACGTCTTGGTTGGCATTTGGTGCTCCAGGGCTTCGCGGGAGATAACTCTTTGTTTCCGAGCGTGGTAGACGTGTGGACAATGGCTTTTGCCTGCGTTGATTGTCAAGCACTGCTCTACGGGCTGCTGTTACCTCCGGCTGTGAGTGTTGGTGCTCAGACACGCTTGAACTGCGGGCAGCACTCCGTTTTGTGGCGGTGGTTCACTGTACGTCGGCTCCAAGCACGGTCGCATTGTGCTATGATGGTTCCTGGCATTGGGGCATCGCCTGTGTGTTGGAGTCGTGCTTTTGCTTGAGGGGGGCGTTCTTGGGCATGCTTCATTAAGGGGACTCCTGTGACTTGTGACCGTGGCAAGTGTCTTCCGGGTTTTCAGTGAACGTGAGGGTGCGTGTCTTTTTTGCGGGTTGCGGCATGTCGCCATTGGCAATGTTGCATGCTTGGGTCCTGAACGAGCGGGTGGCTTTATGGTCGCGTTTGTTCATATGATTTGATGAAGCTGGCTTTGGGCC